CTAAGGAGGTGAAACCTGTAACAGTGTTAAGCCTTGTAAGTAACTGTGATTAATATTTGTTGCATATTTTTGTGGCAAGTTTGTTATCTGGAGTAATTTCTATGTCCATTTTAAGGCTTGGTGCCTTTACATAAGCATGTGGAAATCAAAACATCTGTGCACTAAAACATACATATTGTACTGGTATCAGCAATTATCTAAATTACACAGATACAAAACAGCCTCTAATTTCTGTCTGCTTTTTGGTTCACTCTTCTATTAATTTGAGTCATGGTGCCTATTTCGGTTCACTGTTGCTGATTTTCATTTAGTTAAATCCGGTTTAACTAAGCCTGTTTTCTGGTGGGTGTATACGCTACGGTATGAAATGCAAGAGTGTGCTGTTTCCAGCTATATGTAGCTTCCTTTTCAATGTTCTGCTACTTGAAAAGAAAATTTTAATTGTTATAATTTGTTCCCAACAGAAATTTCATTCACTTTGAAGCACAAAAATTTGATCCTAAAAATCAGAAAAGTATACCAAACCACAAAAAAAACTCCTGCAAATATTTCAACCCATATTGACATGATGATATTCACCTATTTTCACAAAGCAGTTAGTATACAATACATATTACTTATCGACAATTTCGTATACCGGTGCCATTCCAATACATTATAAAACTGATTACTCATCGATATGTCACCCAGGGTTTTCCATTTCAGAGCAAGAGCAGTGATCATGAGAAATAGAGTGCCTCTTACTATCTTTCCAAATGTGGCCCAAGATTAGTTTAAGGCTAGCCTATGTACTTACAAAGGCATGTCTTGAAGCATAATGCTTCATTTGCAACATATTAAATGTTTGGATTCATCTAATTTCGTCCTATATTTTGTAAAGCACTCGTTCAAGCCTCCTCGCTTATCTTATAACCCTTGGTATAGGGTCTGTAATGGAAGATCCCAGATATGAGATCTCATCTCCTTAAGTTTCCAACCAAGGCTATCAAAGTACATGCTGTTGAAATTTTAATATCACTCTTTATGATGCTGGATGCATTTATCCTCAAGTACGTTCTTTTATTTTAACCGCTCGTTCATTGAATGCTCCTTCGCTTGTTTGTCCAGCCGATACTTCGTACAAAATGGAGCTTAAACGAGTTTTATCGCTGGCGATCGATGATTCGCATTCAGTATGAAAGACGTGGCGGCAGCGAGCGGAATAGGAGGCCTCATGAGGTATGATGTATCAGCAATTATTCAGCGATCCCTCTCACCTTATCTGGAGGTGTTAATCAATCCACTTGATCGTGTGTTCCTCGGGAAAACTCGATGACATCGCCACAAGCTATACCTGTAGTCATGAATATAATGACAACAGTCAACGTAACCCGGAAGCACGCTATCGCGTGAGACATGGGAAGCACAGAAAAAACTTGCATAAATTATGCAGGTACTCTGTCGTGAAATGCTAATAATTATAACTCGAAAACTTTGGAAGAG